AAGATTCGCTTTTCTTTTTATCTCTTTTTCTTTGTGGGGATTCTTAGCCGTTTCTTCTGGGTTTTCCGCGACACTGTGAATTCGAGAGACTATAAGTGACGCTGCAATGCTGTCGTTCCAGCCCACATCCCAGTATACTCAGCCTAACCAAGACACAGGACCGGACTACCAATGTGTTTCTTCTGAAACTTCCTGAAATAACGTCAGGCATTACACACAAAGTATCCTTCTGTTATTTTTGTTTGGTAATGCAACGTTTTTCTGCAGCCGTGTTTATGGTATTCGCGAAGAGTGGCCAGCAAAAACTGCAAATTACACAAATAACTTAGCCAAATTTGTCGACCAGTGCAATAAATCGTGGAGAAATCGTCTAAAAAAAATTGCACAAATTCCGGAATTGAAAATTTTACAGGGCAATCGATGGCCAAATCGAGCGAACAAAGTAAGATTTATTGTCGTAGCTTCTTCAGTCCATGATATAGCAGATGAGAGCAGTTGGAAGCGGGCGACTCAGTTTTCCTAAATTAGCGTGCTTTTCAAAAAAATGAAATGGCAATTTATACCTCGAGTTCTCCTTTTTTGGAATTTTTTTCTTTTGCCTCTCACAGAGCGTGCATACGAGAGGGACTTTAACCGGATAATTTAGCTCTAGAGTCACAAAAACTATAGAGCTTAGTAGGCTTCCCTCCGTTTGCTGTAACAGACCTTTAAACATCGGATGTAGATTTGCACGAGCCTTTAGCTTTTTTTCTGTTGCTCCCTCGGCACATATGCCACTTCTTCAAGGATCACCCAAAAGTAGTCATTTACTTCATCCCGGATATATTTGAAATAGGATTATCAATTTACCATCAGAAAGATGGGTGAATCCATGACTGGTTGTTTTGCGTACTGCCGAATTAACGGATAGAATTCAGAATAAGTGGCAGTTACGATTACGGTAGTTTCTCCATCACAGTGTGTAATATGACATGAACACCAAGACCACCCGGATCTGTCAGTATGTTTGCCCCGCGTCAGTGATATTATTGATATGCTCCCACAATTCGAGCGCAGTTATGCTGACCTTGGACCCTAGGCTCATTACTCATAGCGTTTATTTTCACGCAGGTAACGCTCACTAATAAGTGACGTCCACAATGTGTCTAGTAAGTGAAAGTTACATAATGCATACAACAAATAAATCCAGACACCGATGCACCAGGCTTGTCGATTCGATCATATGTTTTTGCTCGATTCCATCCTGCAGTACCATCACCTGTACTATTAAGTGTGATTACAATGTTGCAGTTGGAACGTTTGAAGCGCCTGTAGGTAAGGCCAAGTCCAGACAGAAGCTCACCTTGCGCTTGGCGGCAGCACAAGAACAGCAAATACAGCCAAAAAAATATTGTTTTCGGCTCAGTCCGGTTATCGAGCTATTCGGGTGCTAATACTGTCCCGAATTTAATATTCACTTGAACGCAAGAGAGACTGAATTTGAAACATATTAGATGCAAATGGGCACAACATATTCTCGTAAAATTCCCTAATTTAATTGGCTGTTAAATTTTGTGAATGTAAATAGTTTCAAAAAATTTCTGGGAAAGAAAGAGCACCTGCTTTCCAGAGTGTAAGGAATTTTCTGGGAAATTATCTTTTTTTTCCTTCAGGTGATGAAAGAATTAATTGACTGCATGAAAAACGTTTCTACTCAACCTGTCGAGAAATGCGAAACACCACATCGCTGCCTTTCCGCCATCACCACCGTCAAAAAAAGCGAGTGGATTATTCCGCAATCAGCCTGGGTCATTTTGTAGTGGTTCTTCAAAGGACGTCAAGAAAATCAAAAATTTTGATAAAACACAGTCGGAACACATATACATACACAGGCGGAACCTCGATAATAGCGACTTTTGCAACTGTTGCAGCACAAAATGCATAAAAAACTGGGAAATATACAGGACGGAAGTTTCTTCTACTTTTCATATCCAGTGCTACAGCCAGAATTCTCAGTTTTAGAATGCGTAGAGTAATTTGCACTAATTAACCAATACTTTCTAATGCTTTTGTAAAAATAAAGAAAAAAACCTGCTTATCTACTAGAATTGTATCATATTTGTCTGTTTAAATGTAAACAAATAGTTTTGCTTATAACATCAACACAAAGATGATTTTCGTGATTATAGTCTGCATGTGCGCAAGGATGTCGAATCTGAAATCATTTTCAAGTCATTCTATGTAGCTATGTTTAATTTTAGCTTTGAATTTTAATTGCTATAACTTCAAAAAAGGGCAAATCTTGAAATTAACTTATGAGAATGGTCATTAATGCAGTGTTTACATTGTTAGGCACTGAATCGTAGTTTCACTAGATTTTCACTGTACGCAGTCAGCCAATTGTCTTAAACGCAGTGACTCCCCAATGGGAGCTGCTATCCACAAAAAAATTAATTATATTAACTGTTTACCAAAATCACCAAAATTGCCGAGAAGGACAGTGTGGAACTCAGACATTACTGAGATGTTCTCGTATCTCGAACGCAGCTTTGCTAGCGTCTTCCATCCTGAGCTGCATGTCTTCAGACAGTATTTGCTATCTCCGCTTTTTCGAAGCGAGCAAACGAATCGAAGAATTGAATATTCTACTAGCGGGAATGAATCCTCAATTTTCTATTTGTGAGCAGTGATATTTGCTATTGAATTATACTCACCAGCTTTCCCAAGAACACATGTTTTTTGATGTTTTGATGATTGATGCTCGCAACAGCTGATAAAGATTTGATTACTATCGTGAACTGAACTAATGTTTTGCTATAGGAATCATTCCTATCAATTTATTTAAATGCAGTTTCATGACTGCGTATTTTAGCAAAATGCATGGATCAGGTCGGGATGGAATTCCTCTTTTTCATCAATTCAAGGTTCTTCCAGCGTGTTGTGCTACCACCGCACCGTTAGACCTGCGATCTTCTATGCACTTGAAAAGCTTTCTTCTTCTATCTGGGGCTACAGCGGAAATGACGCAGTTAGAGCTAGCTTTGTTGTCGTGCAGTAGACGAGGGGTTCGACTCCACCAGGGGACAGCCCTCAACGGACCGTTTCGATAGTAATTTGGTAATGGCATAGTCACAGAGACAAATCTGTCATCAGTTTGCTTGTTATGCAATAGGTGAAGGGAGTTATCAACAGCCTTGTCGACGGGTGCAGTCGGCCTACTCCCTTGGTACCTTAGCCTCTTATGGAAAGCGAACACCGAGGAATTTTGAGCTCATATACGCATGTTTCGCTTTTTTTTTTATCCGGAGATGAGAAAAATTTTATTTTTTTTTTAATAAATCAGTAGAGTTTTGGTGTTTTTGCTTATCAAACAGGCATTTTTTATGCATTAATGATTTGGTCGCTGGCAGGATTATCAAGAGTGTCGTTGTGGAGAACAATGTTACTAGATTTCCTTGGTGCAGACGCAAACCAAACACAGCTATGTGAGACCCAGTTGACTCGAGCCTTCAGTCGGTCGGTTTTCATTATTTGTAAGTTGATGAGTGTGAGAAAAAGGTAAATTCGCGAGAAGCTGCGAAAAATTGAAAGGTGTACTGCCCACACTTCCATTTTTGCTGGCTTTTTGCGAATCTACTTTTTCTATACTCTGTTTATCAGTAAACTGTGAACACAATGGGAAATTGGATATATATATATATATATATATATATATATATGCGAAGGGCATAAATGTAGACTGTAATTGCTTCGGAAAACGTATGGAACAAAAGAACCAGTGATGCATTGAATAGCGCAGTCACGTCTGGATGTGGAAAGAAGCGGTTAAATTTATTATGTTAACCTAATAAAAAAAATTTTTAAGGCATTTAACGAATGGTACTTTTGGTCAGGCGTCAAATCAAGAAACTACTGCTTCTCTCATTTGCTATTTTTTTATTTAATCGCATTCTGCGATCAGCAAATGAAAGCGATGTTAAAGTGATTGAAAGCGAAAAATCAAAGCAGTCGTCCACAAACGGCCAAAAAGCTCTTTCCAAATTTCATGAAGTTAACGATAAAGATGCCAAAGCTCTGAAACCAGCCTCTTCGGTCGACGATGATAAGGCAAGCAATTTCTGCTTTATAACAGTCATAAGGCTGTGGTATGGGAAGTTCAGTGTCTCTGAGACACATTCGTTTGCTATCAGATGTGTCCAAGACCTTTTATCGAGACTTTCTTTTCCGCACATAGCTGATCGGGTTATTTTAACTCGATATTTGCGAAATTTTTATAAAAATTAAGCGAATAAAATATGAGTGTTCATACAACAAAAATGCGCTTTGGCAAGAGATTATCTGTATGTGAGTGTGTGTTCGTATGTTCGCAAGTGAGTGGACTTTGTCACTTGTTTTTAACTCATCAGGCGAAAAAGCTAAAAAGTAGAAAGAAAAATTTTTTCTCCACATAGAAAGTTGAAACTTTTTCCTATCGCATGCAGTAATAAAATTCCAAAAATGAGTGCAGTGAGTGACATGAGTGCAACAACAACCCATATTTTTGACGAACTGGCTGTTTTAAGACTTTAAATCTGATGCGCTTTGATATCTCTATTTCTCAAAAAAGCTAAAAAATTAAAATTTTAAAATACCAGATTTGTCGGACAACTAAAAGAAAAGAGTCAGGCTCAGCTTCCGAATTAGGCGAAGTTCCCCAATGCAAAAGGC